GCCGGGAGTAGGGGGGAAGAGCACGGCTCAGTCGGTGAGGAGCCGGTGGCTGTTTGCGGGGCTGGCCGGGAAGCAGGGCTCCTTAACTCGGTCGGGGTCCGGCCTGGCCCGGGAAGGGCCCCTCTGGCCCAAGCCTGTCGGTCGTGGCCTGGCCGTTTGCTTCCCGTTGGAGGGCGGGCAGGCCGGTGTGGAGCCCGTGACCAGAGCAGCCCCGGGACGCCTGCTGAGGAGCCAGCGGCTGTTAGCGGGCTGCTCTCCTCTTCCCCACTTGCGTTTTCCCTACTTTCTACTTCCAGGCTTTGAGTAACACAAAGGTTGTTCACCATGGATCTCTGTCTCTGGCTACACTAATCTGGGAAGCTTGTCCTCTTCCCGTAATAATGCTATTGATGGCTTTCAGGTAGATGAGGTAAGTCATGACTGTTACCTGTACGCTTCACGTTGTAGTCCTAAGCAAAGCATTTTGTACCCGTTTCCCATTCCGTGTGAGCCCGTGCTGGTGCTAGGGATGCAGTTTTATGCCAACGTTTCGTGGAAGTACAGTCATTTAGGAAAATTGATCGATCCAAAACGTTGTTGTGGCAACGTAATCTTTGTGGTTAAGGTACTGTAAGGCAAAGCGAAGTAGTAAGTGTTTGGCATATTTCTTATACCCCAGAGCGCACTCCCAAAATCTATGTGGGTAAGTATAATAAAACGGATCTAAGGGCAAGCTTTAGTTTGCTCACTGGCTTGCAGAAAGAGGTGATGAGGCAGGGTGTGGTAGGGCCAGGGTGCATGTTGGCTCAATAGAAGCCTTCTGTAGTCAGTGTCTCCTCCACGCCTGTTCCCCGCTGCCAGTTTTGTTTGTCCGTTCATTCTCCAGGATGCCTCCTTCTCTTTGCCACCTGCTTTTCTTTCAGTTGATTCTGAAATACAACTTCACTTACCTTTTATACCTTAGGTTGGATGGAAAAAGAGGTAAGGGGCCAGTAGGAAAGAAAAATTAAATTTTGAATCCAGTGTACATTGATTCCTGTAGCACGTTAACGGGGTTATTCTTGCCAAAGTAATATACGTAAAAGAAAAGGGGGAAAATATCACAAGATCGTAGATCACGCATCTTGCCAAAGATTGTGCAAGCAACAGAATAAAAACACTTTTTCCTGTAAGCAGAAACCCTGCCTTCATCTGTTTCTGCAGCCAAGCCTTGGGTCCATTTGGTCTAGTTTGGCATAGCTGCCAAACAGGCAGATGTCCAAAATAAATCTACAGTTTTAAAGCCTCAGTACAAGCTGAAGGTGAGGACCACATTTTCTAGCTGAAATTTCAGAGAAAGCTTCTGTTAAGCACTTTGTAGTTGGTTGTGTTGAGGTTTGATGTAAGTGTGTTGACTTGACAGGAAGTCCTGCACTAACCCTGATTAATCCATCTCACAAATAGCCCTGGCTTTCAGTTCATTGAAATAAAGGTGCACTTCTAGTTTGAGAATGGCTTATACTGCTGATCTGAAACCTTGCTCAGGACCAATGGGGTGTAAGAAATTCATTGTCCTGGAAAATGGAAACCCTTCTCCCTACAATCCTTAACTGCATGCTGAGGACCTAGATGGAGAGCATTATTTGGCCTGTTTGGCCTAGTTAATTTAGTTCTTCCCTAAATTTTAATAAGAGAACCACAAATGGGTTATTTGTGCTCTCTACAAAAACAAGAGCTGGTTGAGAAATGCCCATTACCAGTTGAGAGCTGCCTGAATTCAGAAACAAAGATGTCAAAAAACACTGTCTCAGTAAATGGTTAAGAGAAATCAGATGGAATGAGTTTTTGGGGGAGTGGGGGGAACATGTTTGATATCAGATTCCATGATCCAATCTCAGTAAAGTTATTCTTTAATAACTTCATTTTTTTTTGTTTGTTTCAAAACAAACAACTTGATGTGACATAAGCTAAGGATTCCAATAATGAAAAAAGAGGCTTTTTTCATTACTGGGAGCATTGCTATGGATACCTAGTGTGACTAGATTATTATCACAAGAGACTGCTAAGAAAAATTTCCAGAAACACTTGGGTGGGTTGGATGGAGGTTTTCAGTAGCACCCTCCCAGTGCAGTTTCAAAGTCAAAGGGCTTATCGAAAAGCCCTCTTTCTGAAATGGCTGATTACAGGTAACTGTAGATTAAATAATTTCCTAGTTAAAGATCCTTTTGGTGCTTCAAGACGTATTTGGTAACTTAAAGGAAATTCTGGTCGTCAGTTCAGGCTGGACTAGACAGTTAGGGCTGTCAGTGTATAAAGGTTATTTCTGACTGGGTACTCTACTTTTCAGATTCCAGCTTTGTCCTCATTTGAGTTAATTTTCAGATAGGCTTTTATCAAGAGAGGGAGAAAAAAGGTTTGGTTTTGGAACATCTATGGAAAGGGATGTTTAGGGAAGTGAAATGAATGATTTGAATCTGAGCGTAGAAGGTATACAAGCTCAGACTTGTTGTTCTTTGTATATATACTTTTGCTATTAAAAAAAGGAGGGGAGGGAGAAGCAAGCTTTAGTTTAATCCATGTGGTCCACCACAGGACTGTGGTGTGGAGAAGATTTCAAGGGAAAGAAAACTCTTTTTGGCATATGGAATATTGGTGTGCGTTAAATGGAGTAAATAGAGTTGGAGTAAAATAAGGTTGATTATCTTTTTCCAGCTTTAAAGGCTAAAGTCAATGGCATAACTCTTGGTACCAAGAGTTATCTATAGTGACTGCTTTGGTTGCACGTAATTGTCCTTTCTGCCCTAAGGAACTCATGCTCTAAGACGACTGAAATTCCAGCTAGCCGGTCAGGAGAGGAATGGCAGTGCTGTAAAATCTGTACTGCTTCATGTTTAAGAAACCACTGGAATTAACAGCATTTTACTATATGCCAAGAGAAAAATTTTCCATGGTATTCTAGCAATACATCATTTCATTAACTACACGCATCAATGTCTCATAATAAGTGTGCTGGATAAAGGGCTGTTTCATACAGAGTGCGTTACAAAAGGGCTATGTTCAGTGTTAGACTGTTAATGTTTTGTATGTATTCTCTGGAGTACTGTGAGGATGGGGCAATAAGTTTGTTTTGTTCGCAGATGCTGCATGCTGGCCATGGCTTTCAGGGAAGTGAATGCAAGAAGGCATGTTGGACTTCAGCAGCTTTCATCCTTAGCGTTAGTTGGAAGAACGCTACTGGGGCCAATGAAGTCATGCAAATTTGTTGTGGACGAAAGCACCAACCAGAGCGTGTTGACTTGTTCCGCAGTTAGACTGATCGAAAGTTTGGATTTAAGTAGTGCTGCTGGACAGCTTCTTAATGAAACCGTTCAGGCACAAAACAAGGAATTTAAAACTGGCACGAGTACCCTGTTGTTTCTTGTTGGCGCATGGAGCAATGCCGTGCTAGAGTGCCTCCAGCAGAATGTTCCTGTTTCAGTAATAGTATCCGTGATGTCTGAGGGGTTGAACTCTTGCTGTGAGAAAGTTCAGTGTCTTCAACTATCAATACACGATGTAAATAAAGAGCTATGTTGTAGCAGTGTTAGGACAAGCATTTTTGAAAACAAAACTTCCCAGATTGGATCTAATAGTATTCTAAATCCTCCAGTGGATTTTCAGAAAGGCATTTCTGCATCAGAAGAAGTTGTTCCAAGAAATCCTCATTCCCATCCAGAAGATGGTTGTAATTTCAGTAACAGCTGTCTGGTTTCAACTTTGACAGGCTTTGGTTCGATAGCTTCCCTCGTCAAACCAGTGGATGACAAAAGTAAATCTGTGATTTCTGGAAGCGGTGTTATCCTATCCAGCTGTAACAAACAAAAATTAAGTCACAGTAGATACTTCAGCACTCTAGCAAAAAGCAATTTTTCAAGTCTGTCAGGCAATTTTGAGGGTTATCTCTCAGGACAGTCAGCATATCCATGTGAATGTAGTGGTTTTGGACACCTGGCAATGGCTCTGAGCCATGGAAACCGGACTAACGTGAAACTGCTACAGAACATTGTTGCCTATCAACAACAGGGAGCTGAGTGCAGTGGTTCTTCCCGCTTTAACATCACAGAAATTGCAACGTGCTGTTTACTGGGCCTGCCTGAAAGTTATTCTTGTGTTTGCCCAGGCTTTATCACACTAGTGTCACCAGAACAAGCCACAGTTACCAAATACCTTCAGGGCAAACCCCTTTGGATTCTGCTGATGGATGGTGACCTAACTGAACAGTATGGCCACTTAGGTTTTAACAGGCCACGTAATGTAAGGACCATATTGGAGCGTCCAAGCCTACAAGATGGCAGATCAGGAGACTTGTGGCTAAGCAGCGTGTTAGACACGCTAAGACGTTTTGAGGTAAACTTGATTTTGGTTAGAGGAAACGTGTGTGAAAAATTGATGGAAAGATGCATTGCAAACAACATATTGGTAATTGGTTCTGTGACTCGCAATGTGTTAGGTGTGTTTGGGGAGGTCACCAGTGCCCAGCCACTGACATACCTCGCTCAGCTGAATGCCCGTTACCTAGGGAGGGGGGCCCAGGTGGAGTTGTGGAGGGCTTGTGATGGGCATGCGGTTGAGCTGGGTGAGCTTGTGCCAGTCAGGATAAAAGTGCAAGGAATTCCCCTGCTCACAGCCATGCTCACTACTACCGTAGCGTCAAAGATGCAGCTCATTGAAGACCAGTTCTGGACATTTGTGTATCGACTCCATCATGCTTTAAATGAAGGGAAGGTTTTTCTTGGTGGTGGTGCAGTTGAGCTCTTATGCCTTAGTCACATTCAGATGCTTGCAGAACAGTCTTTAAAGCCAGCAAATACAAATGCTGAGAGAGAGTTTCATAATCCTCTTTGGCCGGCAGCATCTTCGACCGAGTATAGATCAGTTGTGCTCCGAGCATTAGCAAGTGGCTGGAGCCAGTTTCTTTCAGCAGTTTTGTGTAACACTGCAAAAGCCACTTCGGGGTTTGAAGCACATACCTTAATTAAATGTCACCTCAAAAAGGCAGCTGACTATGGCTCTCCCTCAGCGTATGTATTGAAAGAGTTTAGAAGAGTTGGTATGGTCCAGGGAGGTTCTGATCCCTTCACTGATCCCAGGGAGGGTTTAAACGTTTATGATAATGTTACAGCCAAAACGGAGGCATGGCGGAGAGCTCTAGACTTGGTGTTGCTAGTGCTTCAAACAGATGCTGAAATTATCACGGGTCCCAAAAGGAATCAGCTGTTACACTCGCGTGTGTCAAGTGAATTTCTGTTTTTATAGGACTTGCAGTTTGCAGGCTTTATTTATGAGTCCATGAGTTGATGGATAGAAAATTTCAGGTAAAATCAACATTTCTGCATAGTTTATAAAGCAAGCACTTAGATGGGGTTATGATTTTAGTGTTTAACAGCAGAAATCAGCATGTGAAACAGTCACAAGCTAGATCTAATTTCCTGTTTCTAGAGGTGGGAATTAAATAACAAAAATCACTTGTGTGCTGGCCCCTAACCCCAGCTGTGCATTTCCAAATAATGATATGTGGATAGATAAATCCAGTCACACTGACTTCTCTCACCTTATTTAGCAGAGCAGATGTGCAGTTCTCTTTTCATTATCACCTACCCACCCACTGGGCAGCTGAGTATCTGTCCAGTCTAGTTGGAAAAAAGTTTGATACCTTGGATACGCTTACACGCTGAACATGTGCTGCCTGTATAATGTATTTGGATTTGTGTACTGTGAGTAAATCATTCATATTTAATGTCTGCTAAAGGAAGGCAGGGAGTTCTTAAATAATGTTGGCATACTTATGTATGTTAAATGAGAGTATATATGAAGATGTAATTCATAATTGTTTATTAATATCTTGCTCTCAGGTTTTGTACACTGCAAGTGTAAGAGTTAACTTTTGAGTGTTACATTTCATAAGTGATTGGATTATTAGGTCCTACTTTTGCATGCTTATATAAGCCATGTTTATGTTGAATAAAATATACCTTTTGGAATGTCTCAACTCTTGATACAAATTCAGGCTGAATCACCCCTTCTGATGTTAAAGAGTGGATGCATCTCTACACAAAGTTGTATTTTACTTAGCGAGTTGGATTTTTGGGTTGTTTCCTTTGGGTCTGTTTGGTTATTCTTGTAGAGAGGAAGAATGTAGTTGCATTGCCAGAACTAAGTAGTGTATTGGCTGAAAACTGAATAATAATCTATCTAGGTTATTGAGGCAAGAACATTTTACCATGTTCTTGCACTTAAATTTGCAGACAGAGCCAAGGAGAACTTGTCTTTTGTTGCAAGAAAGAAGTGGAGATTGTGTGGAGATGTTTTTTCTGAAACGGATATTTTGAATCCCGCTTAAAGCGAGCAGCTCTCGAGTTGGGTGAAGGCAGAACGGAAAAAGAATGTAAATGGAAGCGAGCAGCTCTCGAGTTGGGTGAAGAGTTGGTACGAATGCTGATTCCCACTTTCAGGAATTTTTCTATCAAAATGCTAATCCCTGGCAGTATTTGGTTTAAGCAGTTCTTTATTGTGATCGCTGGTGCTGGTTGCAGAGTCGACAGAAAATTCTGTGATTAGTGAAAACTAAGACTTGGGGTGGGTAAAGAGTATCTTTTTCTGGGTCTTAATTCAGTGAAAGGGCAATGAGAAAACAGAGGTGATTATTATATCATTAGGGTCTTTCATACTTCTTATTTAGTCTTTTAAATTGATGTTTTTCCTTCAGGCCTAATCTTCCTTGCAGTATCTCCCTGCTCCAGAAGACATTTCAGAGAAGAGCCATCAGCTGCCTGAAACCCCCATGACCACTGGTAGTCTCTCAGTTGCCTCATATGGAGCCTTAACCCACTGTCTACTTCTGCTCCCTGCTAGAGCCACTCCATCTCCTAGGAAGGCCCTTCCCCTCTGCCAGTGCATTTCAGGTTGGCTAATTCCAGAGGGCTTGAGTTAGTGAAAAGGAAAGACAGTTCCTAAACTCTCTCCCCCATGGGTACCAATACACTTTGGCATTATTTCCCATTCTAACCACTGATAGATATTTGACAGTATCTGATCTCTCCTGCCTCTTCTGTGTTCTCTAGATTTTTTCGCTTCCCTTGAATGTATTTCCATTCTTAACACGAAACTCTGTAACCTACACCATGCCCTGCTAAAAATAGCCCTTTTCAAGCTTTCCTTACAGCTTATGTGTTTCCATAGCTGGGAGTTCTCAGGCGAGGTGAGTTAGGCTGTTGCAGTTCTAAATTAACCTTAAGCATGAGATGAAATTGGGATCCATAGAAACATCGTCTGAGCCTTGAACTGAGTAAAAGTCCTGTCTTCATTTTTATTAAGATGAGAATCCACCTAAATACGTTTTTATCGTGGAATTCTCTTCTGTCCTACTATATATTGCAACAAAGCATACATACTCAGATCTTTCATAGAGCTGTTTACCCAGGTGATTCACACTAGGTGAGTAACGGATATGTTCCGAATATAAGGAAAAGAAAGATGCGCTAAATGAAATTAACTACGTTTTTACACATGTGTGTGTATGTGCATATAAAAGCCATGTTATACAGTATATTCCGAAAGGTTTAAATGAGAGCTCTCATTGCTGTATTGCATGTGTCTTTAGTTATACATTCTACTGGCATATAAGTGGAAGGTTCTTAACAATGAAGAGGTTAAAGGAGAGCATTAATTGCAGTTGTCTTTCAGAAAACTTAGAGGAAAACTTTTCTGTGTCTTGAAAGCTATTCTCATAGTATTTGGCCATCTCTGCCCTGAGAATGTAAATGTTTTTTGTTTTGTTTTTTTTTTTAAATAAACTCCAGAATTCAGTGGGTTTTGCCAAAGCATCATCAATAGTTTAGGGGTTTGTAATTTTAACCTGAAACAATAGTCCCTAGCAGCATAGGGATCTAGTTGTAATCATCCTGCAATCATATTTTCATTATTAATCAATCGATAGTTGGTGTTCAGGTGCTTAGCTATACTCAGATATTCTCAGACTTGAAAGAAAAAGGGTCTGATAGATCGAAAGAGACAGAAGGCGCTAATGGGTGCTAGGTGAGAAAGAAATGGAAACACAGCATGTAAATATAAACAAACTCTGCTGCTCTGCAAATGTTTGTAACTCAAGCTTGGCTTTATACTGTTTTTCTGGAGCCTCCTGTACTGAGCATTGCATAATGCTGTTCCCAAGAAAAGATCCAGTTGCACTTTATTTGAATAATAGTTCAGTGGATTATGGAAAAACTGCATACAAGAATTGTATTGAAGTGGTCCAAATGTCTATTTATAGACATTGTCTCTTAGACATTGAGAGCTGACGCACCAAATGTTGAGAAAATCCAAAATGATGTAATTTTTCCAATCGGGCTTTTAAAAAGCGCATAATGGTACATTTAAATATTGCAGTGCAGAGGTTTTCTAAAAACTCTCAGCCATTATATTTTGATTATTTAACACTTGCTTTTCTACAGGCCAATCAAATGGAAAAATTTATAAATTAACTAGGTATTGTATTCCAGATTACTTATATGAATATCAAAGAAATCATTGTAAGATTTAACATGCAAGCTGTCCTCTGGGTGTCCTCCTTCTGTGACGTCAAATAAGATATGTGCGTGTGGATTCCTCAGCTCTAAACTAAAATCTCCCTGTAACATAGAATCAGGTCCCGTGCGTGTGTCTGTACTAGCTCTCAAATACTACTTCAAATCTGTCTCAAATACTATTTCAGCTTCTGCCTGAGCAGAGCCTTTTCCTAGGGTACAAAAGTGTTGTTTGTGTAAAGTATGATGTGATAGAAGAGCTAAGGTATTACATTTGACGTAACTGGGATACTGGAAAGTGGAAGAGATTTTAGGGAAGGGGAGGGACAGGGCCAAGGAGTGGGCGGCGTCTCACTCGCTGGTGAAACCCTGTCCTAGTCAGGTGCCTTGCCCCTCTAGTAGTTACCCTGGCATCCTAGCATCATCATCCTCTGCTCGCTCCCTTCTTCCGTTTAGGGGCGATGCCATTTTATTTAATGCTTACCTTTGTAAGGCCCAATGTTTTGTGCCTTTCTGCTCCTCCATGGTTTCCCGAAATGCAGACTTAATCAGAGCACCAAGACCCTTGTCCCAAGCTGGCCTAGCCTAGGAGGCGCAGCCTTCTTGCAAACTCTAGTCCTATAGGGATTGATAGCCTGATGATAAATGACTTCCAAGAGGTATCAGGTAGTTTGCCTGCTGCCAGGCATGTTGGGAAACCGAGCTAGGAATTTCAGGAGGCAGTGGTCTACCGGTTGGCCAGGAAATGACTGCAGGAGGGTGCAGTCCGGTGGGGTTAAGGTAGTTATGGAGCTTCAAGGGCTGAAGGAGAAAACCTGAACTCACAGGAGAGCTGGGAGAGTTGAGACAGTTTATTTGTACTGACTTTCTTTTGCTGTTCCTGGCCAAGACTTCTGCAGAGGCTGGGAGGAGGCTTTTCTTTTTTTGGGGAAAATCTAACCTTGGAGAAAAGTTAATGACAAGAGATTTTCAACTCTGCTCACAAGGAAGAAGTGACTGCTAGAGCTGATTTATCCCACCAGCTGAAGGAGGACTGAGCCAGAAGGCGCCTCTCTGCCCTGAGGGGTAAGTTATCCTGTCCATGGAGGCAGGATTGGCAGAGGGAAGAAGCTTGCTGTAACTGGAACCTGCACAGTTGTCTGGATTGCTGTGCATGACCTCAGTATGCACTTCTGGGAGAACCTTTCACAACAGAGATGTTTTAAGCCTTACGTTTTGCATAAGGGAAATTGACAGGGAGCGTTAAATTGTTGAATTGTTTTTCTACAGCTAATCTAAAATACACAGATTTCATATTGATTGGCTATGAATGGTCTTTTGTTTGTATCAAAAACACAGGCCTCATGGGATATTTTTACTGTTTCAAGGGCTCAGGGTGTGACGGGGTGATCAGAAGTGTGGCACAGGTGATACATTTGCTCTGCCCCTTGCACAACTGTGTTAATTCTTTACCTTGGGAGTTAAGCTAAGCTTCTGAGCTTTTAGTTACTTCCAGAATGTGACCCTCTCTGCTGATGTTTCTGTGGCTCTTTCCACAGTCAGTTGTGGAAAGTATAAGCTGCTGATTACAGTTTGAGGCATAGAAGGAGTATGTTCCAGTTTTATTCCTCTGAGATCATAGCTTGAGATCAGTTCCACAAAATTACGCTTAGAGCACAGTTCATATGGCACAGATTTGGAAAATCAAAAAATCAGTCTCTGACTAGAATCTGTCACTTTCCACTAGTGTTGCTGCATTTAATTAACCTTTATTGCAAAGATGCAGGACCAAGACCCTTGTCTTTCAAGATGGTGTGTTAACCTGCTATGAATGAATGTGCTCTCCTGTAGGGCTTTTTCTCTGTAGAAAACATTGCTCCAAGCTAACATCTACAGAGACAATTTCAGTGCCGTTGAAGGGAGACTGAGAACCTCTCAGGCACACGCACAAACTAGAGACTGGTTTTGATCTTAAATGACAGAAGGAAGAAAAGAACACTCTGCTCCATCTGTTTTGGCTTCCTGTCTGCTTATTCCATTAGTAATATCAATTTCTTCAGACTTTTGAAAACACCCACAGTGGTTCTTTTGCTGCATTTCTATGATGGTCTACTGTTAGTTGCCTTTTGTTCCTGAAAACCTTGTTATTTCCAGTCTGAAAACTGCAGTTAGCGTTTATGGCTCTCTGCGTGCAACTTTTGCACGTTTGGTGCACGTTTTGCACTGTAGTGTTGTGAGCCAGGCAGAATGCTGAGATAGTTCTGGGGGTGAACAGTGCCCAGCAGGGCTGGAACTGCTGGTCATGTGCATTACAGGAAGCCTTGAGAATATAATCTGAGCTGGAACCTTCTGCAAATACCTTTGCGAGTCCTTACAAATACTTGCAATACTTGCAGATGCAGCAGGCGCGAGGTAGGAGCGTAATCAGAGGAAGCAGTGTCTGAGGCACAACTACGCTTCTGTTCCCCTGCAAGCACTCCCTTTCCAGGCATGTAGTGCA